AAGGAGAGTCAGCGTCAGATCAGAAGTCACCACAAGTGTCTGAACATGCTACAGCTGCAGATTATCAGTTCTGATAATGGCACAGTTTGACTACATTATAACTTGATAATCCTCATCTGGTGAAGTCACACCTGCTGGAAGGCCACTGGCAAGAGAAATTGGAAGGGCAATGCAACAGCCCAGTGCCCACTGGGGCTGGGAACTGTGTGGTTGGCACCTTCCAGAAAGACAGCTCATCCCTGCTCTGCCTGTCCTTCCAAACTCGCTGCAATCTGCTGGGGACTGGCCAATTTGAGTGGCAACACAAGGTCCACCAAGGAACTGCAATCTTCCAAGTGAAGACAGGCAAATTATGAGACTGGTAAAGATGAGAAAATGAGAGGGTGACCCAGTCCTGCAGCACCCAGCTCTGCCCAGCAAGCTTCTCTGGGGAGTTCAAAGGAGCCACTTCATGAGCAACTGCTGGAAAACCACCTATGGATAAGAAAAGTGTGACTGCTAGAATATACACTCAGATAGAAGCAGTAGTTGATTTCCCTGGGTTTCACAGGGAACAAAGATCCAGATTTTATACCCTCAAATGCATGACTGTGGGGAATGAAAGACAGGACAGGACAGGACTGATTGCTACATTTTCTTTGGGTTTCCCCTTGCTGGACCTGAACAAACAAGAAGTAAGTGCAGCAAAACCCCTTCAGTTCACCAGAACTTGCCCATCCCATTCCTAACACTGCAGTGCAGGAGCCTGAACCGCCCATTTTGGCATGATACCCACAGAGGATGGATAAAAAGAGCGGCAATGCCAGCTTGGGGACCAAACTCAGAGCTGGGCCATGACAGAGCCAGAGGGCTGCAGACTGCCTGCCTGTGGCACAGCTCCCACCTCCCTGGCCCAGTGGGCACAGTGGCCATTTGTTCCATGGCTAAACCCAGGCAGCTCTGCAGCTCAGCCTAACCCAAACCAGCAGAGCTGGCGAGCACTAAATTCAGTCATTTTCCCCTCAGTCCCTTCTCTCAATTTCAGCTCTGACTTCTCTATCTTTTATTTCTTTTTCTAAAGACACATTTAGAGATGAAACCATTCATAACTGCCTATCCACAGACAGTTTGTGGCAGCATAATTGACAATGAGTCTGCTGCAAAAATGAAAATGCTGTTTTAATAACCTTGGCCTAAAATACATTCTGTTGTATGCCTCAAAGGGTTTCAATAAAAAGTCAACCTGTAGAGACATATTTTCTTGGCTTAAACAACAATCCAAAGCATATAAATGTAGTCCAACTATAATGACATATTTATAGGCCAATAAAGCTTACACTGCAGCTTTCATACTTCACTTAAAGGAAGTCTGTAAGAAGCAATGTTATATAAAATAATTTGAATTTTTTTTGAACTATAGCCCAAGGAATACAAATATGCAACTTTGCCATATTTAACCGATAGTGTTTACATTGCTTAGTTGTTAAACATTTCGTAAAATGAAATAATTCCTCATTTGGTGACTTCGCACTGGTTTACCAAATATGGGTATGCAAGTCCATTTATTACAAAGAAAAATTCCCTAAATAATTCTAAAGACAAAAATAAATAACTAGCGGCCTCAGCAGTGAATGATTTTATCAGACCAATTCTTCTGGAAAAACAGGTTCTTATGTTCATTATGAATAATACATTCCTGAGCAACTCTATTTTTATATGCTGCATTGTTGTTGCTCTTTATTTTTCCTCAACATTTGAAAGAAATATTCAGAAAGCTATAAATAGTCTTAAGACATAAACTGCTAGCATTCAGTATTGACATATTTGCAGAAAGGGACAGACTGTATAACATAAATATCTCAACAGGCAGAAAGAAATAATTCTTAAAAATCATTTTTCAGGCTGAAATCTTGAAGCTCACACAAAAAATGCTATTGCACGATCTTTTATTTAATACAGTCCTAAGGAAAAGTTCTGCATAATTCACTAGTGATAAAAACAACAGTATTTTACAGGAAAAAAACCCAATCCAACAGTTTCTGCAGAAAAGAATGGCAAAGAGAAAAGAAAGAAGAAAAAAAAGAGAAAAGAGGGGGAAGAGAACAAAAGAGAAGAAAGAGAGAACAAAAAAAGGAGACAGAACTACCTTGTTTGAATTAGGATTGACTTTCAGTTATAGGTTCATGGCTTCTACAGGTTGTGGATTAACCAGGTATTGCCTTAGTTTTGGCTAAGCAAGTGCCACTGAACACATGGCACAGGGTGTACACTGCTCACACGAGGCCTCACTTTGCTTGGTTGTTGTCTGAAGCTGCCCTCCTCCCAGCAGCAACGTGTTTAATTAAGTATGTTTGCACAGTGACACTTCTCTGGGTCTGTATCAGCCATGTTTTCATTTCATCCGGGTTATTTCACTCCCCACCACTCCTGGATAATGTGTGAAAACTGGTTTTGTTTCTTCTGTAAAGCTTTTTTGAGCTCTTTGCTAGGGATATAATTTCCTATTACATTTTAGAGCTTGATTCAAAAACATCTAGTAGGAAAAGCTACAGAATCTATTCGCTTTTATGGAATTTTTCTGTAATGGAAACATGCCATTTCATAGGAAAAAAGGGGTCCAGGAGATCATGTTGTTTATCTAGGCCTTTTCAACACCTGGTTCAGCAACTTCCTCACCTACAGCCAGGGTTAAACACCAGCACCAAGTGAGGGACCTTTGTGTGACAGTGCACTGTGCTCCTCTTACAGCTCTATTTTAAGAGGAAAGACTATCCCATCCCATTGTGCTGGGGACCTGCTGCAGAAGTGATTGCTAATAAATCTTTTGACCACCACAGCAGAGCGCTGCTCTGTTGGCAAGACACTGAGGACTGGAAAAGGTCTGTGGGCACACGTCCTAACAGGCAGTAAAGCTGCCCTCTGACAGCAGAGAAGAGACAACACCAGCAGCTCAAGCACCTCAGACACCCCACATCATGCCTCTGCCTCCAGCTGGGGACATGACAACTCCCAGAGCAATGTCAACCCTGACCAACCACTCAGAACAAGAGAGTGAATCCTCTTTGTCTCACCATAGATGAAACAAACACCTGAGCTCATGGATTGCCTACAGGACACCAACCAGGGCTGCTCCACCAGCTTCAAACATCACCACTCTTCTGAGTTTTTGTGTCAGATCCAAGAAGCAAAATAGGATTAAATTCTCGGCTCTTTCAAATGGTAAAAAAGTAATCTCAATCAATTCTAGATTTAGGAAATTAATTGATTCCCTTAATAGGCCGGATCAATTGTCTATATCAATGTATCTAGTCAGCTACAGGTCTTTGTGAACCTTTGGTTTCCCTTCTGTCAACCAGTCATTACGAAGATAAATGCAGTCATAACCAAACATTAGCCAAAATTCCCTTTTCTACAGAAAAAAAAAACCCCAATGCAACAATAAAGCCAGAGCCAGCAACTGAAAATGAGCAACATCAGAATGTGGGGTTATCAAAATTATACCATATAGTTTGCATTCCGTGAGCGTTTTCAGTATAACCCCTACTTTGAAAGGCTTAACATGCAACTATAAGCCTTGGGCTTAAAGATAATTTTCTCTGGCTCCTAGGGTAGATAATAGCAATTTCATAACTTACCACAAGGAGTTTTTTGTTTGTTGAAAACAAAAACAAGAAAACATTAGCACACAAAAGTTCTGTCTGAAAAACATTAAGATTCTTCTGACACAACAAACAAATGCAAATAAATGTACTGTGTAAAGATACCAGGGCAATAGCAGAGAAAATTACTGCATGTAATTATGAACTAGAAGAAACCACAAAGAAAAGCAAAGAGAGAAAGAATTGCATGGCTTATTTTTTCCCTGGACATGCAATGAAAAACAAGATCAACTTCCAATTGTACTTGAATCTTCCAACCTACACAGCTAATGGTAACATGTGAAATTGACACAATGATTTCACCATTTGATAAGATCAGAAAATGAGATGCAGAAGATAAATCTTCCAAGATAGATCTTCAGCTTCATGTAACTTGGCTTCCATGCCAACCTAGTCATGACACTATGAAACAGAGCTTGGCCCTGCACTCCTGTTCACATAGATACAAAAGCATGTCTTCAAATGCATCAGGCCTAGCTCTTAATTTCTTACCTTTTCACACATTATGGCCTAAACTTGATGCTTTTCAAACATGGAACATTTATTAAAAACTTGGCAGAAGAGAGAAATGTCCCTGGTATGCACTTCTAAGTGCCATCTCTGACAGCTGTTACACATCCAAAGTCCTAATCCCACAACCAGGCACGTCTACCAAGAGGAGACTGATCTCCCTTGGACCTGGGAACCCACCACAGGCATTACAGGTGTGAGTGCCTGTGCAACAGAGCAGTCCCACAGCTGCAAGCCTGTCTGCAACCACCCAAAGCAGCAGAGCTACCAACCTCCTTTCTGAAAACAGACAGGGGAAGAAAGCACAGGGCTGTGTATGGAGACAGTGGGGTGCTCACAGAGCCCTGCAGCAACACAAAGCCGAGAAGGAAACACCATGGAAGGGACACATCCCTACTGAATGTGACACAGAGCCAGCCATACAGAGTCAGGGCAAGCACCAGGAGCACCTATAAGCTCCTGGAAGATGGCACATGAGAAGTGAAAGGCCTTTGCCTCTCACAGGAGGCCCTAGGAAGACATGTCAGCCTGCTCTCCCCACAGTGCACAGCTCTGACCTGATCCCCCAGCCTGCAGAGCCCCAGGGAGAGCCTGGGACAATTATTTGTATGCACATCTGCAGGGTTTGAGCTGCAGTGCTCAAGGCCATACAGACAGGTATCACAGTGTTACCCCACACCAGTCTGCAAGGAGCTTGAGATGAGCTCACTACCACCACTCATCCCACACAGGTATCTCATGGCCACACCTCTGCCCCAGGCTCAGACATACCTTGGGAATCTGCAATGGCATGGCAGGATCAGGCTGTTTTCAAAAGACACTCTCCCATAAGAGAAAGTAAGGGATACTCACCAAGGTCAGCCTTTTCCTTCAGAATATCTTTGAAGTTCAAGCCACTGTTCAGTGTGGATTGTCTGTATCTTGTCAAGGCCTCTTTCTGCCCATTCTTCCCCACATCCATGGGCTGGACCGGCTCAGCCCGGAAACCACACTTCCACTTGGAGAAATCCGACTGTGCCCATTTTGCCAAGTCCTCAAGCTTCACAGTCACTTTTTCTGAAACAGCAATAACTTCATCCTGCAAGAAGTGATCAGATGAGAATACAACATGTCACTCTGGGCTCCCTGATGACTGAGAAACCAGTAATATAAGCCTGCACTGACTCCTGCAAAAGCCTGTCTTGCTTCAGGCTGAGTAATTTTTCTGTATCACAGAATAGCTAGTGCTTAATTTATTCCTCTTGCCACCTAAGTGGAAATATTAGTTGTTTACTTGAAGCAAATATACAGCATCTAAAGACAATTTCTAGAACCAGGGCAATGATCCTAAAAGGCATTTGAAATGCAGGTTGCCAAATCACATTCTGTATAACCCAAAGCCTTGAGGGAAAGTTTGCTTTTTAGGTGCAATTAGCTGCAAATGTAAAAATTCATGGCTGGATGACTAATGGTTATAGTTAGTCCTGAAATAAATGGACTAAGTAAATCTCAGATTCTTGGAACTCTGACTCACCAGAAAATTCCTATGTTTATGGTACATTTTCCCTTGGCTTATACACAAATATTGAATTTAACTTTTGTCCTTAAAATTAAATAAAACTGTGATGTAATCCCAAAAGAAATACTACATAAAAGTGCTTCCCACCAAAAGAAACTTGCACATTCTCATGTTTCTTAAAACCTTTCTCAAGATCAGAACTGTAATTTTTTCCCCCCTTCTAAAACATACATTCTAAGAAGAGCACTTAAACTTAGTTTAGCCTCCAGAACATACACTCAAATTAAACAGTCCTAATTGCTGGATTTTAACCTTCCAGGAATCAACTCCTCTCAGTCATGATGAATAAGCAGAATATTTTACAGCTGACTCCACTGAGCAAGGGATCAAGAAAGCCTCAAAAAATAAACAAACAAACATACATATCCAGCAAGATACACTCCAGATTTTTTTGTTAAAACAGCAGAAATAATTTATGTTGTAACAAGAGCTGGCTGTACACCACACCTTGCCCACGACACATTTCTAACACTAAATAAAGTTTCAGGTTCTTGAAATAAATAAACCAGAATCCAATTTTTCTCTCAAATAAACATAAGTATTTGCAAAGGGGAGAGAAATTCTTTGAGTTATTAAACAAAGGGAAAAGCACGATTGATTCTCTCTGTGTTTTTTTTTTTTGTCCACTGAACACATTCCTCAGGAAATAAAATACTGCTCAATGGAAAAAAAAAAAGAAAAAAGCTTTATTGTGACAAGTCGCATACAATACAAAACCTGAAGTAATTCTAGTGAAAAACCAGATCTGATATTCCTCTCTTCCTTATATAATACAAAACTGTTTTACAAGCAGGCACCTTCATTACATTTAGTGCAATAACAAATATTTGGTCAGAAGTGAACAGCATGTTTATATGCTAAGCAAGCTTGTAATAAAATCTTTTCCTTTATCGCTGCACAGCATAAGAGCCTCCACCAAACAACAAACAATAACAGTGATGCTTTAAATCTCTGTTTATGACAAACGTCAATACTTTGTAAACAAGCACTGGGTACTACAAAGTACAATTTCAATGGATGGTTTCACCCAATTTCATTACACCATCCACTTGAAATAAAAAAGCTGTAGTTGCTATGCATTTTATAGCTATTACATGGTGATTATTAAATGTCAGGATGGAAAAAAAATAATACATATATATAAATATCAGGCTGCCTGCAGACAGTCTCAGCAATTTCTGGATGAAGTCCTCTCTTAGGGTGTCGAATACCATCACCAGCTACTACACAATTTCTCATATTCCATACCAGAGAAATCTACTTAGCAGCAGTTTAAAAAAAAACCCTGAAAAACCAACAAAAACCTGACTTGGAGATCAGACATGCTTCTGGTTAAAATATTATTTTCCAAATAGCTCTCATGATCAAATGATTATGATTTCAATTACTAGTTTCTTCATATCCTTTCCAAGAACTGGTATGACTAATTTTGGCTGGCATACAAAGTAAGCCGAGCAGACAATTTATTAACCAAAAGAAAAGTACAATCACTATTACATCATCAATGAATAAACTTGTTTTTGAGAATGCAACCTTCGCACACACGCACATGATGTGGACACAGAAGGAAAAAGAAACTGAATTAAAAAAAAAAAACAAGACAAACAAACAACAACAAAACAAAATAAACAAAAAATGCCACAAAAATCCCCCCCCCAAAAGCCCTACTGTACCAAGGGTGAAACGATACCGGTGCACTCTGTCAGGCTGCTATGGAGGGGAACTGCAGAGGCAGGAGCAAGGGACCTTTTGGGGAGCTGGGGAAAGCACACCCCAGCCATGAGTTTCCTGTGGCAGCAGCACATCCAGCCACGGGAATCTGAGGTGTTCAGCATCCCCACATGGATGTGAGGGGCCAGAAAAACAAATACACAGCAAAAATGCCACTCTCTGCCATCCCTCAGGCCTCTGCAAAGTGCCACCAACATCCAAATACAGCCACAGAGTGCTAAGGGGTGCCCAGGATGGCACCAGGGAGCAGCCCAGCACAAATACAAAACACAGAAGGAGTCCATGCTGTCCCTGTGCTGTGACAAGGGCTCTGGGCTAAACCTCGCTCCACAGCTGCTGGCCCCTTGTCAGGGCCACCCGGCCACCTCCACACCAGCCTTGTCCCCAAGGACAGCTGGTCACCCCTGCAGCAGCTACGTCCCAAATCCCTGTCCCCAAGGCACAAGGCTGGCCTCCAAATCTCTGTCCCCAAGGCACCAGGCTGGCCCCAAATCCCTGTCCCCAAGGGCACCAGGCTGGCCCCAAATCCCTGTCCCCAAGGCACCAGGCTGGCCCTCAAATCCCTGTCTTCCCCGGGTACTGCCAGCGATCCCCACAGCGGCACTAGGGAAACGCGGCCTAGTTCACTTTTAGGCGGGAAATGGAAAAATGACCTGAACCGCCTCAGAGCCTGCCTTGGGCCGCCCTGCCAGTCACACAGCAGGACTGGACAGACCTGCTCCCTTCCCTCAGCACTCACTTGTGACCCAGTTCACACAGAATTGTCCACATTCTTCCCAACTCCTCAAGCGCTCCTCAAACGCTGCAGATCATCCTGCAGGCCTTGTCTGCCAACACAGACCTCACCCGTGTGGGACTGCATCTCCAGGGGCGCCTCACCATGCAAACACTGAGCCAGCATGGCAGGGGGCTCCAGTCTCTACTTGGTCACCCAGCCAGGCATGGCAGGGGCTCAGTCTCTACTTGGTCACCCAGCCAGGCATGGCAGGGGCTCCAGTCTCTGCTTTTGGAGCAGCCCAAGCCACATGCAGCTCCAGCGGGGTTATCTTGCCCACATCTTGGCAATCTGCTGACACCAGAGGTCATCTGCCCTTGCACCACAGCACCCAGAGGTCACCCAACTATCTCACCAGCTCTGCAATTCCAATGTGCCTTGCTGCGCTTTCGTACATTCTTCAGCAACCTTTCCAAGCACTCAGCCCCAAACTGCTGTGGTGTTTAGGGGGTTTTTTAGAGCAGCAGGTGACAAAGGGGTCCTTCTCCTTTTTGGTTAAGCCCCATGTTACAATAAAAGTTGCTCTGGGACCTGCAGAGCTCTACCAGCCATAGGAGCTCCTATATCCCTGTGGCATCAACCACTATCTGCTGCTGCAACCCTTCTAGAGAAAGCCCTTCAACAAGATGACAAAGGAATACAGATGTTGAAAAAATAAAAACCAGGTACACAGTGACACATGACTAACAAACCTTTAGAAGATTAAAGAAATCTGCTGTATAACCCTCATGTCATTCATAATTATATCTCTGTGTAAACATGAAAAAACACCCACATAGCAAACAGTGCATATATATCTCTATCTATACAAAATCAACTCATCATGTATTAGCTATGCTCTGAAGTGATATGTTTATGAGGTCTCCATTGCACAGTTAAGTCTTTAATTACCATTTTTTCCTGCTACAGCAAGAAGAGAAAACAACCAGCAGAGATTTCAACTCTGCTCAGGAATGAGATTTTATCCAGTGGACCTGACCAACTGGTCAGTGGCCCAATGGACCAATGGTCTCAGCCATAATGTTGTCTAAATCTCTAAATAGGCACTGACTATAGAAAGTGGCACTTTTTTAGCTGCTTCTATAAAAATGGTTATTGAGTCAGCCTGTAATTTTAGCATGTCTTGTAAGACTTCTGAGCACAGTACAATTCTTTCCCCTATCAAGTAGAAAATGGGGAGATGGTTAAGAAAGATGGTGACACAAACCCTTCTCATCCATCTCTTATTTTTTTAAGAGCACACTGGATTTGCATTTCCAGAGAAGTCATCCAGGGAGAAGAGGACAGCATCTTCTCGAGAGCCATTATGCTTAAATATTATGTCACTGTTGTCTAAGCAACCATCACAGCCTCGTGAAAGCACAGAATGCTATATTGCCTGACTCAGCAGATGGCTGAAATGCTTATATTCAGGGAAACAGGTCAGGTAGTTATAATAGCTTAAAGTAGATAATTATTTTTTAGAAGAAATATTAACTCTTACAAGGCAGGGAGTCACAGGGCACCACAGGGAGGTCATACATCTTGATTGCACACCCACACACAGTACATCACAACTCCTTACTCATTGCCAATAACTAGAAAAGATTTATATTTTAGAGACATTGAGGCAGCCTTAAAAGAATTACAGCAACTGAGATATCTCAAAATTTTGACATGATGAGACTGTTTTCACTCCAGTACTTCCAGAGGTCATTTAAGGAATTCTGGAGGGCATGAGCTAGTCAAACACCTGCTTGGCTGTCTCCTAACATCAAATATGTGGCCTAGAGAGAAACAGGAGATGTACTGTAAAAACTCTTGCTGATAATTACAGGAGACACTGTATGTCATTTATCTGATCAGTATGATTTGCATTAGAAAACATCTTCAAGCCTTTTCTGTGAAATCTTTAGCACAGTAGATAGCTGGGGATGCGTATTTTACAACCCAGTACATTGCTGATGAAAACACATTCATCCACAGGAGCAAAAAATACAGTGTGACTCTTACAGACTGCATTCACCAGGGATAA